TACTATTAAGGAGAAAAGTGCTCCTAGATGCAGCAACTGAGGACTCAACTCATTCTGCTAAGCAGCAGCTAGAATCAATTTGCCTAGGCAATATTTTAGCAATAAAGTCTGAAAATTATGCAGATCACCACAATAAATTTCTTTTTAAAATATTAAATTTATTGGGGTGACTTTGGTTAATAGGATCATACAGGTTTCAGGTGTGGATTTCTATCTTACAAGATCTGTGTATTGCACTGTACCACTCAAAGTCAGACCATCTTCTGTCACCATATATTAGGTCCTTTTCACTCCCTTCCCCTTCCCTCTGCAACCACTACACTGCTGTTTGTGTCCGCAAGTTTCAATTTTGTATCCCACATATGAGTGAAATCATATGGTTCTTAGCTTTTTCTCCCTGACTCATTTCACTTAGCATACTATTCCATGTTGTCTCCAATGACAGTATTTTGTCTTTTCTTATGTATGGCTGAGTAGTATTCCATTGTGTATATGTACCACATCTTCTTTATGCAGTCCTCTATTGAAAGACATCTTGGTTGTCTCCAGGTCTTGGCCACCATGAATATTGCTGCAATGAACATAGGAGTGCATATATCTTTGCGATTACATGTTTTTTAGTTTTTCGGGTCTATACCCAGGAGAGGGATTGCTGGGGCATATGGTAGCTCTAGTCTTAATTTTTTGAGGAATTAACTCGAAATAGATCAAATACCTAAATATAAGATCTGAAACAATAAATTATATAAAAGAAAGCATCAGAACTAAGCTTATGGACCTTAGTCATAGAGAACATTTTATGGACTTGATTCTAAAGGCAAGGGAAATAAAGGCAAAAATAAATGGATAAATTCTTATAGCCTTCTCCTTTCCCCTTCCCACTCTTCCACCCCCTGGACATCAGGGGTTTGGGGTAGGGGACAGGACTCACGAAACAAAACTTACTCAGTTTACATGCCAGATTCTGTGGGTTTCTTTGTATTTCCATAGCATCTTAGAAAAAGTGGTATTAGAGTTTTTAGCAAACTAACATATATGAATTTTGCAAACTAACATATATGAATTGTAAGTTTGCTTGTCTGCCATCTCTCAATAAACTCAATGGAGACAGAAGTATGATCTTACTGGGTTCCCTCCTCCTGTACCTGGAGGACAGATAATAAGTTAGACATGGGTCACAGCTCCTTATTTTGTGTGCTGTATTAAGTATGTTAACAGAGTGAATGAATGAATATGTGATGTTCTTCCATGTATTTGTCTAAAAAGTGCCACCCATCTCTTTTCCCCAAACAAAACAAAAGTTTTATCCTTTCCAAGTGATAAACTTGAAGGTTCTACTTATCCTTCATATTTTAACATATCTTTCTTCTCTGAAGCTTTCCCCTAACCCAGTGGTTCTCAACCTTCCTAATGCTGCGACCTTTTAATACAGTTCCTCATGTTCTGGTGACCCCCAACCATAAAACTATTTTCGTTGCTACTTCATAACTGTAATTTTGCTACTGTTATGAATCGTAATGTAAATACCTGATATGCAGGATGTATTTTCATTGTTACAAATTGAACATAATTAAAGCATAGTGATTAATCACAAAAACAATATGTAATTATATATGTATTTTCCGATGGTCTTAGGCGACCCCTGTGAAAGCTCTCTAATTGAAGAGAAAACATGCCACTAAAACCCAAACCCATTTCATATTATTTCTCACCTACCTACTTTGGTTGGCAGTCATATTCAGAGCTATTTTAAGGGTAAAAGTTGAAGTGGCATGAATGACTTTGCAATTTGAAGGTAAAAGAGAGCATGCTTGAAGGTGGGTTAGGGTTAGGGCAAACTATCCTAACCAACCATTAATTAGAAGATACTATTAAGGAGAAAAGTGCTCCTAGATGCAGCAACTGAGGACTCAACTCATTCTGCTAAGCAGCAGCTAGAATCAATTTGCCTAGGCAATATTTTAGCAATAAAGTCTGAAAATTATGCAGATCACCACAATAAATTTCTTTTTAAAATATTAAATTTATTGGGGTGACTTTGGTTAATAGGATCATACAGGTTTCAGGTGTGGATTTCTATCTTACAAGATCTGTGTATTGCACTGTACCACTCAAAGTCAAACCATCTTCTGTCACCATATATTAGGTCCTTTTCACTCCCTTCCCCTTCCCTCTGCAACCACTACACTGCTGTTTGTGTCCGCAAGTTTCAATTTTGTATCCCACATATGAGTGAAATCATATGGTTCTTAGCTTTTTCTCCCTGACTCATTTCACTTAGCATACTATTCCATGTTGTCTCCAATGACAGTATTTTGTCTTTTCTTATGTATGGCTGAGTAGTATTCCATTGTGTATATGTACCACATCTTCTTTATGCAGTCCTCTATTGAAAGACATCTTGGTTGTCTCCAGGTCTTGGCCACCATGAATATTGCTGCAATGAACATAGGAGTGCATATATCTTTGCGATTACATGTTTTTTAGTTTTTCGGGTCTATACCCAGGAGAGGGATTGCTGGGGCATATGGTAGCTCTAGTCTTAATTTTTTGAGGAATTAACTCGAAATAGATCAAATACCTAAATATAAGATCTGAAACAATAAATTATATAAAAGAAAGCATCAGAACTAAGCTTATGGACCTTAGTCATAGAGAACATTTTATGGACTTGATTCTAAAGGCAAGGGAAATAAAGGCAAAAATAAATGGATAAATTCTTATAGCCTTCTCCTTTCCCCTTCCCACTCTTCCACCCCCTGGACATCAGGGGTTTGGGGTAGGGGACAGGACTCACGAAACAAAACTTACTCAGTTTACATGCCAGATTCTGTGGGTTTCTTTGTATTTCCATAGCATCTTAGAAAAAGTGGTATTAGAGTTTTTAGCAAACTAACATATATGAATTTTGCAAACTAACATATATGAATTGTAAGTTTGCTTGTCTGCCATCTCTCAATAAACTCAATGGAGACAGAAGTATGATCTTACTGGGTTCCCTCCTCCTGTACCTGGAGGACAGATAATAAGTTAGACATGGGTCACAGCTCCTTATTTTGTGTGCTGTATTAAGTATGTTAACAGAGTGAATGAATGAATATGTGATGTTCTTCCATGTATTTGTCTAAAAAGTGCCACCCATCTCTTTTCCCCAAACAAAACAAAAGTTTTATCCTTTCCAAGTGATAAACTTGAAGGTTCTACTTATCCTTCATATTTTAACATATCTTTCTTCTCTGAAGCTTTCCCCTAACCCAGTGGTTCTCAACCTTCCTAATGCTGCGACCTTTTAATACAGTTCCTCATGTTGTGGTGACCCCCAACCATAAAACTATTTTCGTTGCTACTTCATAACTGTAATTTTGCTACTGTTATGAATCGTAATGTAAATACCTGATATGCAGGATGTATTTTCATTGTTACAAATTGAACATAATTAAAGCATAGTGATTAATCACAAAAACAGTATGTAATTATATATGTGTTTTCCGATGGTTTTAGGCGACCCCTGCGAAAGGGTCATTCAACCCCCCCGAAAGGGGTCGCGACCCACAGGTTGAGAACCGCTGCACCTAACCTGTTTTTCCCTCTCATTGGGACAGAGTGTAGCACTTCCTTCTCAGTTTTCATTGTACTTTTTTTTTCAATTTCTCAGTTGTAGCTATTACATTATGGCTGTTTATGTATTTGTCTATCTTTATAAAATTGTGAAGTTTTTTGTGAATCGGCACTATGTATTATTTGGATTGGTTTTCTTAGCAATTGGAATAATTAATGCAAAGCATTGATTTAATATTTATAAATAAATGAATCAAAATTTTAATTTCCATGGTAGTTTCCTGGAAGGCAAGCTTGCTGTTTGAGACACAAAATTGAGTAAGACTCTTGCCTTCTGGAAACTCACGGTTTATTCATTGTTCAATCAGTATTTATATGTAGTGTGCAAGGCATTATGCTTAGGTGCTAAGGAGATGGTCACAACGATCCTTGCATAAAGAAACTAGTGGGGTATCATGACCTTTGATTCATAGTATTTCATGCTATGTATTGGTGTTTCCTAGGTAATTTTAGTCTGTAATCAACCTGTAAATTCTATAGAAGACAATAGGATGTTCAGATTAACTGTCTAATTCTAATCTTATGTTGCATGTATGTTTATCACATAGTTACAGATTGGCAAAGGAGGAGTGATGAAGACCAGAATGATATAGCACACCCAAATATTTTCCTAATTCCATAAGCCTGGCTTAATTATACTTGAGGCTGGCATTACTGATTATTCATAAATAATGGTGGTAGATTTTTATCTTCAATGCTGATAGTGCTTCTTAGTAGTATTGTCATAAACAAAACCATGACTTATGCTTTTTAATATATGACTAATTCATTAACTCTTCCTGGTTCTAACACATTTCTAATATTTACAACTTTGACATAGAGTTTAATGTTGCCCTGAATTCTCCAGTTTCTGAATTCTATATATTTCTTAGTCCTAAGTGAAAGCACTTAATTTGAAGGAATTTTGACATAGCCACTAAAGTTCTATAGATTTCATTATCTTCTGAATTTGGACTTAAACCATAGTTCCATTCTTATGTAACATCCATGAATATAAACAGTAGCTTCATATGTCTCTTCTTCCAGAGCGAGTATACATTTTAGTAACATATTTGGAATTTGATGTAATTGACAAATTTGGTTCTTTTGGAGAAAATACATATGCATACAATAACATATGATTTGCAAAAAATTCTTATGGATGCAAAATATTTAGAATTGAAGTTTCAAAACACCTTAGTACAGAAGGAGTTAACAGGTTAGCTCCCCTTGGTTGTTCTCAGTATGCTCTTTTGCTTTTAGGAGCTGAAAAGATGATAACATTGGGTCTGGGCATGCCTGTGTGGAGGTTATGGTACTCCTGGGGTTTTTTGCAGCTAGCTGTAAAGCAAGCTAGAACTTGTTCATCTCAGAGTTCCTTGTTTTTCTTTCAACCCTTTCAGTGCCCTGCAGGAGTCATTAAATCAAAACTTCATGCTGATCATCACCCACCGAGAAGTCCAGCGGGAGTATAACCTGAACTTCTCAGGAAGCAGTACCATTCAAGAGGTGAGTTATGTCTCACAGCTAAGGAATAAAGGTAGCTCATTATAACTAATGTTGACCCTGTTAAAGAGGGCTTATCTATTCTGGTTGGAAACTCTCTTTATGTTTCATTATTGGGTTCTTAAATTTAATTAACTGGAGCATCATGATTACTGTAGACATATTAAGTGATTTGACCTAGAAAGACAGTATTGTAAATGGGAGCTCTTGATAATTCTTAAAATAGTCACCTTAAAACTCTGCTTAAAATATTCATTATTATGTAATATATTTCATAGTTTTATAGTAATTATTCAAAATATTAATTTGGAAATTGTTGCCAGCATGCATTTTCGAACATGCATGCATTGCATTTGAAATATATTAATTAAAATGTGTGCCTTGCCTGTTTCCAAAAAGAATTTGAGGAGGCTTTTTTTATGCAGCTCAGTGCCAGTGTTGGGCAGCATTTGAGGAATGCTGATGGAAACTTTCAGTCACTTAACTCAGAATATCTGAGAAGAGTCTTATAGTCAGAATTTTTTTTTCTTCTATATAGCCAACCAGGGCCACTGTTTTAAAAAAGAACCTCCCCCAAGAAAGAAGAGGTATCTTCTTGCCTGTGACCCCACCTACCTAAAAGCCAGTAATTTATATCCATGGGGGGAAAGTGTGTTAGGCTATGACAGGACTTACGTTTAGAAACACTGAAATGATGATTACGTCACATTACCCCTAGTAAGTTGTGAAGACATCAATCATTTTGTCTGCTAATGTTTTTATAAAGAGAATTAATCATATATATTGAATTAACTAAATAAGAAAATTTAGTTTCAAAATAACTCCAGTTTAATCAAGAAAAACAAAGATAATAAGAGGTAAATTTTATTCTGTTGGTTATTTTTTTTTAATTGAAGACTAGTATAATGCGTTATGGATAAATATAAATTGCTTTATTTGTTTTTCTGAATGAAACTTTTATTGCTAAAATGTTACCCTTTTTTCATTTCCAGTTTCTGGAGTTTAAGTGTATTTCTGCTTTTTCCCACAAGAGGGCAGAAAGGACTATTAAACTGATAATCTAAAAATGCCATCCAGTGTTTTCAAATTAGCTTTTCTTATATTAACAAAAAGGAGCATAATGGCCAAATTATTGTTTGATTTATAGATAATTGGCATATTGCAGGGAGGAGACTTAATTTCACCCTTTTAAATTAAACAGGGAGATTTAAAAAGACATAAAATATTCATTAATGTTCGGTGATTATAAAGTAGTGGCATATATTTATTTTGCCTTTATTACTGTTTCGATGGGAAAATACTGCAAATATTTCCGAAATCGAGTTGGCCATACTGACAAGTTGAAATGTTTAAGCAGCATTAATGCAATCTGCTCACACCTGATATCCTATGCAGAATGATTCAAAATGACTACATCAATTATTAAAAGAAATATTTAAAATTCTGTAAATGTACCATTATACGCCACAGTTGGCTGAAACTGTTCTTCATGGCCTGCTATTTAGGTTACCAAATACAAGGACTTGAAAACAGTAAATCTTTTTCATATCATTTTCTAAATGAAAAATGTCCCAGAAATATTTTTGCAAAGACTGATATTCTTATGTATTTCTTGGTAAGAATTTGGTTTCTTCTGTTTCATTTTTCTTTTTCTTCTTTTTAAAAAAAAATTTAAAGTAATACTTTGAAATGCTTCTTGCCAAGAAGAAATAAATCCAGTTGTTTCTAATATCAGTTGCTTTTCTATGTGTAAACCAGGTACACATAGGCTCTTTATTCTTGTACAGTTTAGAAAAATGACATGGATTATTCTCTTTAAGCCTAGGATCACACCCTTTAGGTCTAATCCTAAAACTTCCTCTTTTAACTTGTGGAATACCTGGTGAGGTGGAGTTTCAGAAGGACAAGATGCTATTATGCTACAGCCATGTAACCTACAGTAACACCTAAGTTTTTGTTTTTGTGCATGATTGAAAGTCAGTTTGCTATAATCTTAAAAAGCTTTTCCAGTGTTATTTTATAAATGCTAGAATTTTTGCTATTAATGTGGAAGCTTAATGATGCCATATATCCTAAATTGTAAATTAATTTCTGTCACCAGTTTCAGATATCTCTTTTCAGTGTTTTTAAATAGACTCAAGCATGAATTCTGATCAATATATGAAGAAAAGTTAATTTTAAAAATGATACAGATTTATTTTCCAGTGTTGTAGTATATTATCCTTGTTATAGGAGAAAATAGTATGCCATTTTTTGGTAATTTTAATTTTTGAAAGCCTTGCATTTTTAAAAGAAAGCGTTTGTAATATTTTTCCCTCAAAGGGAAATTTCAATTAAATGAAATAGAGTTGAAAAAGGCACTATGATTTCAACTTTTAGTGAAACAAAATACATTTTAAAAAAGATTGAATTAGAAAAAAGAACTTAAAAGCAGTTAGAATTTCAAACAAACTCTTCAGTGACCATATGTTCATGCAAGTTAATAGTGATAAACTGAGTTGTACAAGTGTTTGTTCATTCTGGTCTGTGGTTTCTTACATGTCTATGTCTTTTGAAAGCTCTAGATTTTAATTTAAGCTAGTTAGATATTGAGGTGTGTTTTTTGTTGTTGTTTTTAAAGCTCTTTACAAATCCTTCCACTTATATTTCCCTCCTACTTGAGGAAAAGGCAGAGATAATATAAAAAGGTCACAATGGAGAGTTACAAGTAGTTATAAAAATAAATATTCTTTCTCTTTTCCATTATGTGAAATAGTTTGTAAAATATCTAATAATAGAATAATAACTTTGTGATAATGTCTTTTTACCTTTTTGGTTTCTACATTACTTATTTGTCACACTTTAAAATAGCGAATTTCCTTGAAAATTTAAACAAGCTTACCTTATCTTAATGGATATTCTACACAGAGAATTTAGCTTTTTAAACAGTTAATTGTACAGACTCTAGTAATTCTGTATAATACTATTAAAGATCTGTGGTTACAAATGCACTTGGGATTGGTTAAATTAAGGAGGGGGGAGATTGATTTGCCTACTGCAAATCCTAAACCCAGGTGTAAAGTCTCTGAAATCAAGCCAACTTTTCTTGGAAAAGAATTCTTTGTTGTCCATCTTACTACTGCAAAGCTTCTAATGGGCAGAATATACACTTTTCTTTGTACATGTTATACACGTTTAAGAAATACAAACATGACCCAGAATAACAGTGATAAGAAACCTAAGTATTTTGGGTGTGGAATCATGAAGTATTTCCTATCTGTTACAGCAAGAAGCATGATGAATAGCTATTAGAATTATTTATATCCTCTTCCAAGTTTCACTTTATCCTAGAATTCCTCACTGTTTTATTAATGTTGATTTAGTTCTTAATAGGAATAAAGGAAAAATTGACAAACTATAAAGATATATCTTTCATGGAATAGTAAAACATTTCACTACTAATACTAGTGATTGTCATATGGGAAGCCAACAATTTGAATTAGCAATAAGAAGATAACTAAGTACATAAATCATACCAGTTCTTAAAAATAATTTTGGCTAAATAATTGTGAAATCATGAAGCTAATTCTGATTCAAAACTTGTGTTGGGTTTTGTGTCTTTTTTTCTGCATGCTACTTTCTCAACTTGCTTGGCTAACATGTATTTCTAACTATTCTTTATTGTTGAAGGTCATTAACAGTAATTAAATATGTAGTTTTTTATAGATTGTACTAATGGGCAATTTTCTAGTTGTGAGTTGACTATAACTTCTTAACTAGCATGCCCTTTCTGTAAATGTTTTAGGTATAGTGGTTTTTGTTTGTTTGTTTTCCAGTTTGGGGGTAGGGTGGGGGATGCTGGCACAGAACTCAAGACCAGGGTAGCTTAGAATGTGCATATGCAAGAGGCTAAATTAAATTGTGTGCTTATTTAATTAAAAGTTTAAGTAGTTTAATTTTATTGCAAGATAAATGGCATAAATAAGCTCAATTTGAATGAACCCATTTTAATTACTATATATCATAGTTTGATTTTTTAAAACTTGAAATCACAAATGACATTTTAGCAAGAATGAAAGAAATGTAATTTCTTAAGCAACTGAGCAATGAATTAAGCCTTTATTCAGCTTTCAGAAAAGGAGATTATGAGTTTCTTTCAAATATGCACGTATATTATTAGTTTCAAGTTATATTTTATAACAGATTTGTTGAAATTATACCGTTTCAACTGAACAAATCAGTAATGACCATTTTATAAATGTTGAGGTTTTCTGTGATTCTTAATAAATTATTCTCTTGGGAAATAAATTTAAGTAATATTTACAATGCAGTCATTTGGAACTGACAAGTCTTTTTCTGCCTCTGAAAGTATTTTAGAGTAATCTCTATTGGAAATTATTTTTAGCCCCTGTAAGTGTTTCTTCACCTTCATTTCAAGAAGATAGAAACAATGAATTTTTATTAGGAATTAAGGACAATGTTTTAGTCCTTTGTTACTTAACATATGTGTATTCTGACATCTACTTGGCTGACCACATTTCATAATCTGTGATTTGTGGGTTGGGAGTTTTAAAATGCCTGGGTTAGGAGAAATTATGTTCAGTTATCAAAAACTAATAAACATAAGACATTTTTATATACAAGAAAAGGCAGAGAGTAAATAATTGCACTGGTGACCAATACTGTAATAATCCTGTTTTACAATATGCACTTGACAGGTTGTAATAGTGCTAATTGAAGAGACTAATTCACACTTGCTTCATTCTATTCAAAGGCAAAATCAGCAGCTTGTTTTGCTTTTGACCAGATGGTCCTCATGAACACCTACTGTGCACTTTAAGTGCTTTACTAGAATTACAAAGGCTGGGGGCTGCGTTCGACTCCAAATGATTTTGAGAAGAGAGAGAGAGAGAGAAGGAGGAGGGAAAAAAAAAACCTGTGCTCAATGGATTTGGTGCAAGTAAATTAATTCTAGTGGGCCCATTACACACTGAGCCCCCTTTTCAAAGCTCTGAGTCTCCTCG